CATTTTGAAAAAATCATATTAGCTTTGTAATTTGTCAGTTGACAATTTTGAAAATTTAAAAAAACTCCTTGAACCTTTGGTTATCGAATGCAAAAAAAAATTGTTTACTTATCGCAAAGGGTTGAAGAGCTGTGATGTTTTAAATGAACTTCTGTAAACAAAAATTTTGATCAACAAATTGACATATGTCAAAAACTGTGACAGATAAGTACTAACAACTAGGTACATTTTACTCAGTTTGAAGAAGAGAATTCAAAAATGCAATAAAAATTAGTGGCAACCATTTAAAATTTGAAAGTTGGCGCCAATTTCTCGTGGTTCCGGAAGTTCAGCCATTTTGAAAATAATTTAATTTAACTTAGTCTTGTCGATTTGGGTTGTGTACAAAATTTCAAATTCCTGTCTTCATTAGAAGTTATTTTTTTTTTAATGCAGGCTCTAAAAGAATCACCTTGTATATACATATGATTTCGTTGTTACCACCTACTTAAGCTAAGATAAAAGAACATTAGTGCTCATCCTAAAAAACAATTACATTGGTTGGGAGGTTTTACAAAGTGCTAAACGTTAACTATCGATATTTTACGTGATTCATGTATTAAAAAATTAATTTGGAAACATTACATAGAACTTTAAAATTATTGGATTTGTCTGGTGTTGGATTTTTGAAAATCGTGTTATACATCGGACATACGTGTGGTTTAAGAAACTGTTTAAGAATAGTCTTTAGTTTGAGTCTATAGCATTTATAATTATGCACTGCACTGACACTACATATACGAAATTTTTTATTTGCAATATATCTAAAACAACAAATCAACAATAATATAAACAATAAAAACTAAAGATTAAATTTTCCAATTATAAAATTAGAAACTGTTTTTTTAATTAAAAACAATATTTGAGACTCATTATAAAATAATAAGACGATTACCCGATTTATAAATTAATATATAAATTGCAAACTTTTTGCTTGTAATAAATTAAAAGCCTACCACGAAAATTCCAGAATATGGCTCTTTTGTAAATCTTCAGGGTAGTACCCCAGCAGTGAAAAATTATTACGGCCGACCGCAAAGCTGCTTAACCCTCAATAAAGCTTTGCATACGTCAATCCCAAATATTCCTGGTTACGACTATACAAAATTGCAAAGTTTTCCAATTTATTAGTATTAGTTGTTTCAAAACTGATACATACATTTCTAGACTTGGGGGTGACCCCAGGGGTTATTGTAAAAGCCCTCTGTTTAATGTATGTTATCATTTATTGATAATTAATCTGCACATTTTTTTATATAGAAAACTTATCCGCATAAAAAGACGAATGTTTCTTTAATCCTTGTCCACTGAGGTGAGGTTTTTTGCATAACCACTGAGGTGGAGCCTAACAGACTCCCGCCAGGAAATAGGGTCAATTTAAACAATTTATTACATTCAATATAGGTCTGAGTATTTAAGATTAAGGGTTTTCAAGTATGAATTTAAAATTAATATTCAATAAAAAAAGAAACGCAACAGTATCGTTTCAAAAATATTACAAAGACCACCAGTTTTTTGAACACTTTTGTAACAATATTTTAACACTAAACTATAACAAATACTTTTTCGTGTACTTAATAGAAATGATAACTTTGTTTAACCCAAAATAATTAAGAAAAGTGGGACTTTTGTTGTTAGCAACACCTTTTTTTTATTCATTCAATTTATTAACATAAATTTAAAGTGTACAATTGCTTAAATCACTAAATGCGGTACCAGAAGATGTGGAAAGTGACCTGCAGTTAGAAACTGCCAAAGTTGTGTTATTCATTTCTTCACTTGATGTGGCTGAAACTGATGTCGATGTTGACGGTGCAGAAATCTCTTCAGTTAAATTACTGAAAATTCTTTTTCAAATTTTCACTTTGTTTTCGATGCTGTATACCAGATAAGCTTCGGCGACTCCACTGCTACGCCAACCACCGTGTCTTTTCAAAACTTGAATGTTAGGCTCACTGTCGGCTAGAAATGTCGCAGACGTTCTGCGAAAGCAATGTCCTGTGAAACTGTTCGGATCCGGAAGCCCTAAATACGCAGCAATTTTCCTTATGTACTGTACCGATCAATTGCACAGTGCACTTGCCCCCTTTATAACATATAAAGAGTGTACGATGGTCCACATGCTTCGGTGTCAAATTCAAATACTTCCTGTAAAACTCAATACCATTTATTCCGTCTTCTGACGTTACTGTGAAGACACGCTTCCAAATAAAATTTTTTCAAACGCCCCAGGTTCGGTGCCCGGGCCTCATCCTTGGCGATTTCCACGGCAATGTCTGCCGCAGGGGTCCAAATCCACAAATGACACACTTGTCTTTGGGTGATGTACAAATTCCCCTGAATTTGGTGGTAATATTCGTGTTGTTGATTGACGACAACACCTTCAGCGCCAATATAGATAATGTACGAATGATCGGTTCTGAGTTCCTCCAAAGTGGGTTGTTCGCGATATTTATATGGACATTTGATTTCGAAAAGGGCGCTATCCCCAATCAACCCATCTGGACTTGCACCCAAGAAGTCATAAGGATCTAGCCCCACAGTCCTGTCGGCTTCACTTCCAACTGTTTCGCAGCGATAAATTCCTGGAGGGCCTGTGGTTCATGGGTGGTTCCCCACTGTCCTGTGAAACTGTTCGGATCCGGAAGCCCTAAATACGCAGCAATTTTCCTTATGTATACTGTAGTGCTTGTAATAAATTTTATAAGTGAAACGAACCTTTTCACAAAAGCACGCAATATTTTTATTTGCTCTTTCCACATTCTTTTCATTTCTCCATTCACAAAACTGTTGGTAAATTTTTTCGTACTTTGGTCTAGAGCAGTGGTCGGCAAACTCATTAGGCCAGAGAGCCAAATATTAATAGTAAGTCAATTGAGATATCCTTTGAGAGCCAAATTTCTTAAAATTAAACTAAATATATATATATGGGTAGGTACTGTCTATTAACTTAATGGAGTAAGTTAGTAAGATATTAGATAAAATTAAATCGTGACAATGACTGGTAAACACTTAAACAATGGCCTTGCATCTCCTTGGAAAGTTTAGGGAAGTCAGGTTCGTATGTTGTTGTTTTTAATTTTAGGCACGATTCCAGGTTTTCATCAAAAAGACGACTTCTCAGTTTACTCTTGATAAAGTTCATGCTTGAAAAAAATTGTTCGCATGAATATGTAAAACCGAAAATGGAAAGAAGACCAAACGCTAGTTTTTTCTACTGATCCCTGAGTCAGGGATACTATTCCAGGTGATAAAAATCATAATATCTTTCTTCTCTAGCTCTTTCAAAGCAGACCACTTGTACTGTGAACTAAGTTCACACTATTTTTCTCCAATATTTCCAAATCACCGCAAAGACGTTCAAATTTGGAGCTCCATAATTCCTTGTTTTTTAAATCCAACAATTGCATTTCAAAGTTGCCAATGTCAACATTAAAGGGAGATAATTTTAATTTTGTTATAGTAGCATAATGGAGGCATTTAACAAAGGCTAATGTTGCTTTGCTGTTTCTGAATTCTTGAAACCTATTGAGAAAAGCTTCCCTCATATTTAAAAATGTTCTAGAGTCTAGACTTTGTAGGAAGTAAACCTGACTCCGCTTGTGATACCAATTGTAGAATTTCTTCATTATTTTTGCTTGATTGATTCATTTTACATGAAAGCTTTTCCGAAAAATATTTGTTCACTTGGTTGTGATGTTTTATCACTAAGGAAACAAATGCTTAACTAATAGGAACAAGACAATTTCTATTTTTAAAATCACAGTTTTCGTGAAGTCGTGAAGTACACGAAAAATGTACGTGTTCAAGTGAGTTTTCTTTACTTGTAAACAATCTACTGTAATCAGCTAATTAACAAGATTTGAAAACGCTATGAGCAAGAAAAAATTACACGAAAATTCGTGCATTGGGGTTATTATATATTTTTTTTTGTGCAATTTTCTGGAACACTCAAGACAAATTGGTTTATGAGTTTATCTTGTTTTTCTGTGAAGTTTATGTGGACATAGATAACATAGCCAACATTCAAGATGCCAGAACTCAAAATGTTTAGATGATAACAATAACGCAGTTCTTCGTTTCTCAGGTACATGTGACAGGAAAGTGACATATTTGGTAAACATACAAGGTGGCGCAAAAGAAAAGATGTTCGTTGGCTGTAATTTTTTATGAACAGAAAACTTTGGTTTGATTTGTGTTTGCAACATCGTGCTGACGAATTATGCAAGGGAACTTGGTTAAGACCTCTCAAGTTCGAAAAATCAAACCCATCAATGTTTTTGAGGTGATTCTACAGAAAAATACTGGACCTGGTTTTAGTCTGCTAACTCATAACAAATGAAAATTGATTGGTGTCATTTAGTTGTCAAAATTTCTAAACTATACCTTAGGTACTCATAAGCAAGCTTTTAATGTTTGGCATAATGTTTTTGACATTGACAATATCGAAGTTTTTGGAATCCCCAGAGTCACTGAGACTTGCCGCTGTGACATTCCGCTTTGAATAAGAGGTATTGCTCGAGATTTATTAAAAACTGATATAGCTGGCATTTTGCAAAAATTGATGTCAAAGTTAATTTGACAGTTTTTTTTAATATCAATCATAATGACGGTAAAGGTGCATTTACATTGACATTTTTTGAAACGACAAAAAAAAAACTTCTCAGGAAACTGATTAGGCTGGTCAATATTGAGAACGGCCTCGATATGTTGGATTTTGGCAAGTTTGTGAGGTTCAAATTGAAGCTTACATCGCAATAACTTGTTTCAAATGTTCCTTAATAAACGCGGGACATCAAAAATCGTGACAATTGGCCGGTCATTAACAAAGAAATAATACGAGCTTTGTCTGGGGTGTCGTTCAGCACAGAGTTGCGACAAGGCTTTTTGGTTGGTGGGGCCCTGTCTTTAATTCCTAAAGATTTTGGGTCCCCCATTGTAGATTTGGGCAAGTACCTGGGCTAGCGTCTCGGGCAACAGACGACATTTACGGTCTTGGTCAGGTCGTGCTGAAGAACTGCTCGGTTCAGTGCAACTTTATTTACGCAAGTGTTGCTTCTTATTTTTAGTGCCATGAGATATCGGCATGGTTTGAGCAGCGTAGGATTATACAACCAGCAATTGCTAATGGGATCGTCAGCCAGCGATTTAGCCGCCTTTCCCTGGGTTTTGCTGGCCCCCCAGCTTCGGAGCTCTTGCCTTTTAGCCTCGATTTTCCAGCGATCTATGGTTTTTGTATCTAGGATGGGCCAGTTTATGCGGTTCACACAGGCTTGTCGCCTAAGCCGTTCCCGCAGCCCTGTTCCAGCAGCAAGAGCTCGAATGGCAGGGTCAGGGCTTTCTAGAAAGCGCATCCCTGACTTGTGACTAGAGGCTATCGCTGTCACCTCTAGTCTTGGAAAACCTAGTCCACCGTCTCTTTTCCTGGTATAAATCATACCATCAACTGTCGACAACGGCAAATAGAGTATCTCTTTAACGGCGACTCGGAAATCGTCGTCGAGACCTCTTATCGTTGAAGTCGGTGCCCCTCCATGCAATATTCTAAATAAATAGTGCGGGACTAGGTATCCTGAGAGTAATTCAATTTTCTGGTGTAGCTTTAGTGCTAGGCATTTGACCCACTTCAACATGCTTCGCACTTCTCCCCTCATCTGCTTGATATCTATGCCGCACCAGGGGGAGATATCCATGCCAAGGTATCTAATTTTTGATTCTGCATCAGCATTTGGAATCGGCTCTCTGTTGTTTGCAAAAATGTTTGCATCCTGCACATAAAAGGAATCTCTTGTCGGCTCAACTTGAAAGGAGACACACTTTTGTAACGAGAGTTTCATTCCATGATCCCTGAGGAATGTTTCGACTACTTGCAAGAGTTTCTGAGCGTCGTTGGGGCTGTTTGCCGTTAGAATCAGGTCATCAGCAAACGCTAGGCAGGATATATTGCACTCGTTGATTTTATACCCTGGCATGCTCTCTAATTTTGGAGTAACGGCTCTAAGACCGCGTTAAAAATAAACGGAGATAAAGTGTCTTCCTTCTTTGACTCCTCTTTTTAGAGAGATCTCAAATGTTTCGCCACCACTATGTGTTTCCGTTAGCATATTTTCATAACTCTTCATAATCATTTTAGAGATAAGGGGCGGAATACCCTTTCTCTGTCGAACGCCTTCGATATATCCAGTTGCACTGCTACCAGGCCACTGGTACCAGGCGTCTTGGCATGTTTCAAGACATCACTGAGAATATGCACATTGTTATACATACCCTGTTCATTGACGAAGCCTTTTGGCGTGTATTAAATACTACGTGTTTACGTAGTTTTTTGTCGATTATCCCCCAAAATAATCGACTAATGAGTTTTCGTGAAGGCATTTGTCACGACCAGTGCTTAAGAATTACCTTTTTGCGCTCCTGACGAAGGGTCCCAAGTGATCCACATGCACGGTGTCAAATGGCTTGGCGACCTTTTCGATTGGATGTAACTCACCTTTACCTTTACCACAATATCCCTTGCTGAACGCACAGTCAAGACATGCGTCCACGTACTTCTTGACAAACACGTTTATTCGAGGAAACCAGTAGTTCCTTTTCACCAACTCCAAGCACCTCTCATATTCTGGATGCCCCACCTCATCAATGCGTCAACATGGCGCATCTGCTGCCCACGCCGATACTCTATTGGGAAGTCGTACTCCTGTACCGACAACCACCACCTCGCCACTCAGGGGTTTAGATCCCGTTTCGCAAAAGTCAGTCTTGCCGCCGAGCAATCTGTGACTAACTTAAACGCCACGCCTAGGAGAGATAAACCCTAAACCGCCTTATCGTCTCCACCGCCGTCAAAGTTTCTAGATCGAAACTGTGATAATTTTTCACCGCCGCCGTTGTGGTTCTGCTATAATAGTTCACCGGTTTAAAATGTGCTTCTGGAGCAACATCCCGCCAATTCCGTCTTTGCTCGCATCCGTGTGAACTTCCGTCTGTCTAGCACTATCATAGAGAGCCAACACCGGCCTTTCACACAACGCCTGAGCTCGTCAAACGCCTGCTCTTGTGCCGTTCCCCAAACAAATTCTACGTCTTTCTTGGTTAGGTCTGTTAGGGGTTTTGCCACCGTCGCGTAGTTACGAATGAACTTTCGAAAGTACCCAGTCAGACCGATAAAACGCCTTACATCATGCACCTGGCTAGGTGTTGGGAATTCTCGAATGGCCTCAGTTTTGCGTCGCCCGGGCCGAACACCTTCTGCCGAAATCTCACGTCCCAAGTACTCCAAAGAATTTTCGAGAATCACGCACTTACTCAGATTCAATTTAAAGCCCGCCTAGCCTATTAGTTTTAACACCTCGCCCTATAGCTGCAATCCCTCCTCCGTCGTTGAGGATGGAATTAGCAAGTCGTCCATATACGCCAGGACTTTATCGCCCCTTAAACGCCCTAACATTTTGTTAATTATGCGCTGAAATACAGCCGGTGAATTTGCCAACCCAAATGACACCCTCAGATATTCATAGTGCCCATCCGGAGTGATAAACGCCGTTTTATGCACCGACTCCGGATCCATAGGCACTTGGTGAAACCCCTGGGCTAAGTCTAAGGTGGTATAAAAATATTTCCCGGCCAGTTTCGTCTGCGAATCCTACCCTCGTTGTATCCGAGTAGATTGACTTCCTCAGTATTTTGTCATAATATATGTTCCACAGCAGTGGCCCTGACACGGACCCCTGCGGCACTCCCTTTGTGATTTCGAGTTCCGTCGCTTGTCCTATTAACAATTTCCTATCTTTTAGGTAGTTTAGAATCATCCGCTGTATGTATGGCGAGAGATTCCTTTCTTTGACTTCTTTAATTATGATGTCCCATGAAGCCGTATTGAATGCATTTTGTAAATCTACAGTTACTAGAGCACTTATTTTCCTGTGCCTGTAAGCTTTTTTGTTAAGTTCTTGTGCCTTTTCTCGTATTACTTGATTGCATCCACTGTAGATTTTCCTGCTCTAAATCCAAATTGGTTCTTCGCTAGTTCGTTTTGTTCCATTTTTTTTTATTTTGATCGACAAGAGCTGCTCAAATAATTTGCTTACTACGCTGAGAAGGCATATTGGTCTATACGTATTTTTCTTCTGTTTTACGATAAGCACCAGTTTTGCTTTTTTCCATTCTTCCGGTATTGCACCTCTCTTGAGTATTAGTAAAATCGGACTGACTCTCTTTTATTCCACCCGCCTTTAACAACTCGTTGATCTTATTCTTCACCTTTCGCTTTTCCACCTCAGGAAGCCGATAAGGTCGCCTAAAAATCGGTTTATCCGTCGACAAGTTTATTGTCATCGACCCCAAATGAGTAACACCCACTTCACCAGGTTCGGTAACAAAACATTTGACATTCGCCTCTAAAAGTGTGATTAGCTCTTTGTCCCGTTCCGAAATCGCCCCGTTCGTAATTGCTTAAGATCTAACTTACTTTGGCTAAGCACACTCACCGTCGCCACCTGATCACCTTTCATCACCTGTTCCGCCCGAGCTACCACCTTATCCTTTGTCCACCTTACGATCTGGTCGCCCAAATTAGTAAATTCCAGCAGCGCCGCTCGCCTTGTTGCTTGTATGACGCATCCCACCACTGCCACACAATTTCGTCCATCTCCAATTATCTTCGCCGGTATCGCCCAGTTTCCTTTCGCTTCGGTTTTTGTTAACTCCACCATCGTCATACAGTCTGGGTCAAGAACCGCCTCCTTCACCAGTTTCGCCACTCTCTTCGGAACTCCGCCGCAATCGCCCAGGGAGAAATTCTTGAAAAGGTCTGACACTCGTGAGAGTTCCGCCACGCCTCTCTGGACTCTCAAAACGACGTCGTTGTCGTCTAACGTGGGTTGCCTTAAAATAAAGTCAACATTAGGGGTCAATTCATCCACCACCAACGCCTTTAGTTCCAGCTTTGTCTGGTCAATACAGATCGACAATTCCGCCTCGCCTTTACTACCGTCAGGCTCCCACCAAATCCTTGCAAAATCATCGGCTCTCTTGGCCTCGGCTGTATTTGTATCCTCACCGCACAGGCTGCCGACAGAATATTAAATTCGCTGCCCGTGTCTAATAGTACTTCGAGTACATGCCCCGCCTCCGTAACCGCTCATTTCCTAAAAGTTGAAACCTTACTCACCGTCCCGACGCCGCCTTCCGCCTTGGTGGTCGCTTTTTCTCGCCCAGGACAGTCGTCGACGTAGTGTCCCACCTGCTGACAACTCATGCACCTGTTCCTCCGGGGTTCAGGACACTCTCGGCTAAGGTGCGTCGTCATCTTCTGGCAATTATAACAACGCCTCAGTTGCCTCTTCGCGATAGCACAACTTGTCGCCGGTGACACTACTCGTCCGTCTCGAGTTCCAGGTTTGAAGGCCGCCTGCCTCCTCCCCTGTCCTGCCTCTGAGTCACCCCCTTGTCGCCCGCCTGCCTGATGAGACTCCTCAGTCCCGTCAATCTTGCTGAGGAAGTCAGCATACAGGGTCTCCGGTCTTTCGCACCGGAGTGCCACCGCGTTCGCCCTCAAGTGAGCGGGAACCCCTGGATGACGCATGGACGTTGCATCTGCGCGCCTGATCTTCACCCGCTCGCACATCGCCAACTTGTCATGGTAGTACCGGGCAAAAGTCTCGCCCGCCTCTTTCGTCCGGCCCACCATCTCCAAAAGGAGTGTCGCAAAGTCGAACTGACGTGAGAACGCCTTGGTTAACGCCTCCTTCCATTGTTCCCACGTCACGTCGTAAGACTCGAGAGATTGGAACCAACGTCTGGCCGCCCCCTCGAGTCTTGTTCGACGCCATTTTGTTCTTTTTTTGTTGTTGTTGCACAACGCCGTGCAACGCCAGCACAACGCCGTGCAACGCCAACCACACCCGTAAACTATCGTCCTCGCGGCCCAAAAGCGCCGGATCTACGATCCCACTTCTGATCTGTTAACGTATTGAAACACAAAGTACGCCTAATTCGTTTATTTCGCCCAAAGTTACAATAAATCTTTTACATCCACCGATTCGTCACACCATCCACTTGTTCACTCGCCACCATATTGACCTTGTCGGTAAAGTCGTACCCTAGCAGTACCAACCGGTACTGCTAGCGCCATCTCCTAGCACCGCCTCGCAATTCTCCTACGCCTCACCGGTTGTCTAAATTCTCAATCTCGGTAACAATATAAAGTGTGCGTTCTCCTTTCGACATTGCGCAGCGTGAGCGCCAAGTTAGACTGGTGAATAGTTTTTTCTCCGGGTGTACTCCCAAATTCAATGAGTTCCACTATGCTGTACCCTTCTTCGTTTTTCATCAGCCACATACGTTCCCGTAAATTGATATCTTCGTGAAGACAATCGCCTTGGTTATTTGTTTGTACACAGGTTCGACATAATGGAAATGTCAATTTGCCATTACATCGAAGTGGTACCACCGTATGGTAAAGTTGAGCAGGAGTTAATTCCGTTTTTTAATTAGACCTTCGACAGAATTTATGTCAACATTTGCGTATTCCTCTTGCCCAACATAAATCTAGGATGCCCGATAGGATATTTTCCGTATTTATTAATAATAAATGGATATAGAGAAGATCTTGGTAAACTATTTTTTCTTTTCTTTGCTTTTATAATATAATTTACAAGCATTTGTTCTTCCTCCGAAAAAGCCATCGCGTGGGCTTAAAGGGGTGTGTTTACTCAATTAATTTCGCTTTTCAATGAAATTTTTTAACAGGATTTTCTTTAATTTAGTTTCTGAAAACACATTTCTTCATTATAATCAAGTTATAACCATATGTTCTAATACTCTCCTGTTTGCTATGTGTGTTTTCACGACGCAAAAATAATGCGTTGGGTTTGATTAAAAAAACTTTGCTCGCTCCCGTGCCACGAGCACCCGTGAAATTCATAATTCTTCACCGTCAACTAGCATACCTTCTTTTAACCGAACTTCTCGCGCATTTCTGCTATGGATAATATGAACGTTACCTTTTTTTGATTCCCAAAGTAGCCAGTTTATTGCAATTACACTTTGTTTGTCATCTGCTCTGTACCCCGATACTGGTATGATACCGTTTGAATTTTCGCCTAAATAGTTGCGTCGGAATACTAAATTGCATGCTGAYGCGATTGTTATGCACTCTAAAAACGGATCTACATTATTGGTTTTTACGATTCCCGAAATCGAATGCAGCTTTTTCTTAATATATCCACATCGGAAATACAATACTTAAAGAATTCTACTTAAAATTAAAGACAAAATTATTGGTCACTTGTTCTGAATGCCATGATAAAAATTTTACCCGATCTTTCTCGTTCATAGTGTTATATCCAAAATACTCAGGATCGGGAATTTTCCCTATGTGATTTTGATTATTCAGAGTATTAAATAAGTATGGGAAATAGCCTTCTCTTTCTCGTATATTAAATGCTTTAGGCAATTGGGAAAGTGGCAACTGCAAAAAATTTAAATTATCTATAAAACGAATTGGAGAACCACAAGTTATAACCAACAGTTTTATTCCCGAACGAACCACGTCCGATTGCCACCTACCACTATTTGCAAAAAGCTTACGTAAAATAAAACAGCCATCAAAACCTCTCATGTTGTGAGCGATGGCTGTAACTTTGAACTTTTTCGATTGTTTAGCGATATGATCTAACAAATTTGTTACTGGGTCCTCGTAGAAAACATGTTGTCTTACCCCGCAAAAATTACAGTGTACTGAAATGTCATCTTCTTTAATACAATGAGCGCAAACTTGTTGCGCCACACACAAATTTACTTCGTGTAGTAGGTACGCATTGTTGATATTTTTTTCTTGCCTTGTTTCAAAATCGTAAATAAACAAATAAGTTCTTATACTGATTGTCTAATTACGTATTTTCATTAACCCTGTTTTGTTTCAAGAAACAAAAATGCCTTATTGGTCTATTAACACCGCAGGTTCGGCAAAACTTCATTCCGCAAAGAACTTTTAGAATCAAGTTTCACAAAAGTTGAACATGTTGGGCATTTTTTTATTTTCTCGCATCAATTTTTTTGTAATATGATTTTCAAAACATTGGACACCCCGAAAATTTCTTTGACAATTTTGACATTTTATATCGCTTTGAATCAAATTACAAGGTGGTTTTTCTAAACAACAGGGGCACGTGTAAGGGCAAGATTTGTGACGATCACGACGTGAATATCGTACACGACAAAGATCACAGAAATAGGCTGTCGCAAACGCTCCGGTTTTGCTTAGAATCACATTGAAATGATTCTCCTCGAATATCAAATTTAAGGCTAGTCTGGACTACCGTCGAAAGCAAGGCAAAAATTGGTCCCGTTTTACGGACGCATTTTTCATTTTGAAAAAAAGGTCGATGTCCCTATCGATTCTGTATAATAGTAAGATTTGCGCTCGTATATAAAAAAAATTCAAAATTTAATACTTTTAAAAAATAATTAAAAATGTCTTAAAAGCAATCCTCATTTTTTAGCCACATAAGTAAGTTGTTCTAATTAAATTTATTATGCTTAAATAGAGCTTTTTTGGGACAATTGCGGTGGTATTTTCTTTTTGGTTCAAACTTATTAGTTTTTTGTTAAATACGTTTAAAAAGAAATGAAAATATGCAACTCTTTATACATACATTGGACGGTTTGAAGGAACGCTCTCATGATTTATGGCTTGTGGAGGCTACCTGAAGCGATCCTAATAACCGACTGTAATAGTTGTGGTTTAGCTTTCTGAATAAGTAGAAAATAAACATGTACAATTCCAAGATTTTAGTTTACGTTCAGTATTTGCAATTAAATATAAACAAATTATTACGCGTAATTGTAGTTGGCACAATCACACGCAAAGTGGCAAAGTTTTGATTTATAAAATTTTTGTTGTAGTACTATAATATAGCAGTGTAATAAAAGCACAATATTTGACACCGTGCTATAACAATTACACGGCCCTCGTGAGAGACCAGTATTGTGCTTAAAATATAATATAAAAAATCAAAGGTCTTTCCGCA